ATGTTATAATGTTATACTCTCATAAAAAAACATGCCCAAAGCCTTGCTTTGACTCACTCATGCATGTTTGAGAAATCCTGCAGCGTTTTTAGGCAGCCATGCTGAGGAGCAAAACGACAGGTGGGGACCAGAAACTATTTAAACATAAAAACAGCATTTTAATAACAGCTAAAGGTGACRTASACACTTTATTATGGTATAGTATTTAAATATATGCCTGAGAAACACATAAYATTGCCCCTTTAAAACYAGAATGGATGAACAATATAGGAAAAGTCAGGCGACCCAGTTCAAGGCGGCTGCAACAGATAATCCATCTTAGCAAAAACTAAATGGCTTTTTTTAGAGCTGCTGAGCTGTGTGCTGAAGATGACTTTCAGCTACCACTAACCAAAGCTCAAACACTTTATGCAGGTTCCTTTCTTAGCTCCTTTGGCATGTAGGGTGGTGAGCGATATGCATTTATTCAAGGAGTAACGTTTTTATTAAGCTCAGTTTTGATTGGAGTGAAAGTAGCCACGTTTTCGGTCAGTTACTGGACAGCTGGGGAGCAGAGAAAACTGTTAGCGTCATTAAATTACTCATTGATTATTTGCTATTTACTTAATTTGAAGTGGGTAAAATTTTTGGAGAATAACAATTGTTTTCTGTCAACAGTTCAGTTTTCAAGAATCGTGGCATTCCTCTTTGAATCGAGATATTCCCCAGCCATCAGTGACCAGCTGCCTGCTTCACCATCAGAACCAACACCGAAACCACAAGAGGAGCATCAGCGGACCACCCAATGCTAATGCTCTCTGCCACTTCCACATCGCTGCCAGCATCAACCCTGCCACAGGTCAGACTCAAATTCATCACATCGGTTTATTCACATCACCAGATTTCTTCAAATGTGTGAAAAATTAAAAGCTACAAAATGACTTTCTTTTTTTTTTTTTTAAATGTGCCTGCATACAGCATTTCAACATTATTCAGACTGAATAAAATCAGCTGTAGGTCAAAGGGCTTCTCTCTTGTGCTTCTTATCACAGAAAGTATAATTAAATTTAAAGATTGCTGTAGGCTGTTCATGTAATGTCACAGGGAGCTTTTTGTGCTCAGGGCTGCTCTTAGTAGCTGYGAATGTTTTGGTTTTGTTCTTGTCTGTTTTTTTTTTTTTGGGGTAGCTTAATTTGACCTGAATCAGTACAAACTCTGGTACATTTTTTCAGCCTCGAGGCAATGACATCTGCTGTATTTGTATGCTTAAATTGTTTAATTGTAGAATACTACAGGCCACATTTACATAAATGTAAGTAAACTTAGAGTATTTTTGTCCTGAATTTCTTCATTTCTTTGTGTGACAGGTTTTTTTTTTAATTTAAAGTTTTATATCCTTCAGTTTGACATTTTTGTCATCTTGTCCTCTTTTTGTACAGACATTCCTTTACTGCCCTCCATCTCTTCCTTGAATGCTGTGGATGATGATGAACCTGGGAGTTTATTTACAGTCCATTGGCTCAACAACAAAGAGCTTCAGTTCACCTTAGCCATGGAGGTCTTTTTGGAGCAGCTCAGGGGCAGTTTAGAACAAAGAAACGATTGCTTCATTGAAGGTACAGAAAAATGTTTAGTATCATTTGGAACTTGCTTGTAATGTTTTTTTTATTCCAGTCAAACATTAGATTTGGACATGTTGTGTTTTGGTTTGCGTTATTTTTCAGAGATTGAAGATGAAGAAAAYTCTGATGAAGAAGATAGCAGGCCAGTTGACGTTCATGGGTTTGATGGGCTTCCTGTCGCAGCTGTGGAGCATCAGGTGGACGTTTTGTTAGAGGAGTGGAATAAAGCGGCTGACATGCTGTTCAGTATACATCCCATAGATGGCTCTTTGTTAGTCTGGCATGTTGACTGGTTAGATGAATTCCAACCAGGCATGTTCAGGCAAGCCCAGGTACTTCACTGTTGATGCAGTTTGTATTTATTTACACGTTTGTATAAATATATGYTGTTTATTTGAATACTGATGCCTTTTCCTCGTAGTTAAACAATATAAGCATTGATTAAGCATAATTAATTGGCACCTAAAATACTCATAATTTGTTATCAAGGTTGTTATAAATTAGTTGGAACAGAAAAAAATGTTAGTTTTGGAATTATAAAACTACTGTTGAACATTAATTCTTTTACAGATATGTAATGAGAAWAGAAGACCATCTCTTGAGTTTTCATTACTGTCAGTGTCACTCGGTTTAAGTTTAGTTTTGTTGCAAACTTYTTCAGATGAGAACAATTTTAGCACTTTGTTTTGTACAAGTGTTATTTCTGCAATGTTTCATATGTCACAACTAACCCTGAGCTTAAATAATTAATTTTTTACATATTACGCATTTGTTTTTGTTTTCAGGTGTCGTTTGTGTCCCGTATCCCTGTAGCATTCCCCACAGGTGATGCGATCTCCCTGAGCCACAGTGTGGTTATGTACGCTTGCAATAAGAATGTGGATTTAGCCATCCAACACGACAGACAGCGGCCACCTGGGAGCTCATTGTCTCGAACCAAATCTGCTCTGATTAGCTATGGAAGTCAAGGAAAAGTTGCACCCAGCAGCAGTCTTCGGCTAAGCATTTTTACCCCTAATGTCCTCATGATCTCCAAACACGATGACGGCTCTTTGAATCAGTGGGCAGTCAGCTTTGCYGAGGACTCCGCTTTCTCCACCGTGCTCAGTGTTTCCCACAAATCACGCTACTGTGGCCACCGTTTCCACCTCAACGACTTGGCCTGTCACTCCTTGCTTCCTCTCCTCCTCACCACCTCACACCACAACGCCTTGAGGACGCCGGAGGCAGAAAGCATCCCGGCTCCTCCTGGGGCCTACTCCTGTTCCACGTCTCTGCCTCACGGGTCACGGCCCTCCCGAGTGTCGGTGGGCGGGGTTTCTCAAGATCCCAATGCCATCTATAGCGAGCTGATTTTGTGGCGAGTGGACCCTGTCGGCCCACTGTCTTTGTCAGGCGGGGTCTCAGAACTTGCGAGGATAAATTCTCTTCATGCATCAGCGTTTGCTAATGTAGCCTGGCTGCCAACGCTTATTCCGAGCAGCTGTTTAGGTGAGTAAAATAATTACAGATAGCCGTTATCAAACTCTGAATTTATTGGTGCATTTTTTGATGTACTGAATCTGTTTTCTGTCTTTTTAAMTCTTAGGTGTGTACTGTAACTCCCCGAGCGCATGCTTTGTGGCAAGTGATGGCCAGTCACTCAGGCTCTATCARGCTGTGATTGAGGCTAAGAAACTCCTGAGTGAGCTCTCCAATCCTGAGATAGCTGTAAGTGAATGTAGGATGCAGACAAAAGATTATAGTTACTGTTCATTGCAATAATGTTTACTTTATAAATTTCTTCTGGGWATGTGTCATGCCAGTTATAGACTGTTATACTTTATTTTAAATATGTCACAAATGAGCTGAACTATGAGCACGTTTTACCCTAGCTTGGTTTGAMAAAAGCATGGTGGTGTGTTTGATTTGTTTGCTTATACACTGTAAGTTGAGCTGCTTACCTGCTAGCCATCAGGAAAAACTTGATTTTCATCATTGTTCTCTGGTTTCACAAAAAAAAAAAAAAGTTAGCTCTAATGAATAAACTGCCAACCTTACAATTATTAGACACCCCTCTCTGTCATCTGACTTAAAGATGCTTCACATGTGTTGCAGTTTGTGTATTCAAATGTATTTATTTTTTGTTTGTTTTCAGAAATATGTTGGAGAGGTGTTCAACATCGTCAGTCAGCAGTCCACAGCAAAACCAGGCTGTATCATAGAGCTGGATGCCATCACTGACTTTGTGAGTCATGAAATTCAAGAAAAGTGTTTGATTTGTGCACTATTTTTTGTCTTTGTCCTCATGACTCATTATCCCCCTGTCTAAAATATTTAATTGGGTTCTAGACCAATCAAAGTGTACAYAACAGCATTCTGTTGAAAATATGGGTCTTTGCAAACGGTCTGCTGTGGAAAACTAAACATAAGATATTTATATCTCAGTGTCTGCATCTGATTTATGTTACAAACACATGTTGCTGTCTTTTATTTGTTTGTTTCTGCAGCAGGGAAAGGAGACTCAGCTCCTGCATGTCTTTGAGGAGGATTTGATTCTTGGCACTTTGAGAAATGAAGCCACACAGGAAACCCCTCTCTCTCCTCGTAATTAWTTAATTTATTTATTTTAGATTTAATATGTACGCTCTACAAGTGACGCAACTGTTTACTATTTTTCCCTTTCTGGTTATTTTTCAGCAGCTTCCAGTAAACCAGCTTTTTCAGGGCGTTTTTTTCTCGTTGTGGTAGAATTGACCCCGACTGGTCGCTCACTCCTCCACATGTGGCATCTCCATCTTGCTGCTTGCCCTGTCACGGTTGGTGAGTACYTTGTGTATAAAGATTGTAAGCAAAGTTTTCTTTTATTGTTTCCTTTTAATTTTAATTTGAAGGATTAATGGCCGTATAAGGAACATTTTCCCCCTCCAGTCACAATAACAACGTRCAACAAAGAAAATTAATTAATTAAAAGCCTTTGATTGAATGTGTCCAAGTTTTACTAAACAGTATTTCGTTTTGTCTTTGCACCCTCCAGAGGAAACTACATCACAAAAGGACAACGACCCATTTTCTCCCGTGAACAGCTCCCAGTTTATCTTTGATGCACCCAATTCTCCATTAACTCAGAAGAGTAAACCATTAACTTCGAACCTGCAGAGCACCTGTCGCCTCAGCCTCACAACACACAAGTTGTGCAGCCAAGAGATGGCTCTTCCAGCAGGGGTGGAAGCCATCAGTGTTACTCCCTCAGCAGGTGAAAAAAACAATTTGGACACATCATGTGCAACAGATCACTAGTCCAAGCCTGTGGAATTTACTGAGAGTCACCCAGACAAAGCATCACATTTTAACATTATATCTAAAACTTGGTCTTTAAATCAATGTATGAATTCAGGCACTGAATTTGTGTTCAACTCTGGATAGGCTGATGTGTCATTAATAACTAAGTAGTGAATGCATTCAGTCATTCGGATCAAGATTAATTTTACATGAATACATCTTAAGGCAGTGGTTCAGAGCTTTTGAGGAGGAGTTCTGTGGAAAGGTTATGAGAAACTAATATCTTAGCTGATGTAGACTGATCTTTGAACAACCTCAGTAGTGACGTAAATGTTTATAACAGCTTGAACSGCTTTGAAATTTTTGACATTGGAGTTATTTTAAGGCAGAAATCCCCTCTCAGAATTGAACTCATCTCAAAGACTTTTCTACAACATGTAAAAATAATTGTCAATGACCTTAAATAAAGGATAAACGATAAATAAATTAATAATAATAATAAGAAGAAGAAGAATAAGAATAAGAATAATCACTTCTTTTCTTAGGTCACTTGAGTGCATCGTGTTCTCTGCCAGCCGGTCGAGTGCCTTACCTTCTTGCCACTTCCTGTTCTGATGGAAAGGTGCGCTTCTGGACATGCGATGTTGTTTCAGCAGAACCCTCCAGTACTGATAGCTTTGTGTGTCAGTGGGAGGAGTGGCCTCTCCTGGTGGAGGACAGACTCCCCAGCAGCAGTGCAGTAAGCGTGCCTGGTCGCCCCATCAAGGTGAGCTGCTGCCATGCTGGACGGATCGCTGTAGCCTACAGGGAKGCGCTGAACGCACCTCTTAACTCGACACCTCATCTCGGCTCTCATCTGCTGCCACCTTCTCCCAACCTGTCATCCTCGCCGTATACATTATACAACAACACCCACCTGATCCCAACCCTGATTGTACAACCAAGCCCAGGTTTGACTCCTAACTCAGTCAACACAAGAGAACCACCGGTGCACATCAGCATCTTCCAGTGTGAGTCGACTGGTGGTTCGCAGTGGATTCTAGAGCAGACCATAGTCCTGGATGCCACAGATTCCTCTAATTCTGCTGCTGGAAGTCTTCCAAGTAACTTCCACTTCTCTCCGCCAAATAAACAGTGTCCAGGTTCTGCTAATAAGAGTTTGGTTCACTTGGACTGGGTTTCTCAAGARGATGGATCACACGTACTGACTGTTAGTATCGGGACAAAGATTTATATGTACGGTCGACTATCTGGGAAGCCTCCAGAGCTGGGTCTGTCATCTGATTCAAACAGAGACCAGAGTTTGTCTCGCTTGGTTCTGCTTCGATTAGTCAACCTGGTTTCCTCTGTCGAAGGCTCTTTGCCCATCCCAATTTCCCTCTCCTGGGTTCGGGATGGGATATTGGTGGTAGGCATGGAATGCGAGATGCACGTTTACTCCCAGTGGCAGCCCCCGGTYCCCCCCAAACCTAATGGTACAGTCATCCAAGACACAGATATCAGCAGCAGTGTCTCCTCCATATCCTCAGCCGTCAGACAGTATCAGGAGGAGGGTCATAATGCYGCACCTCCCATGTCTTCACTGACCCTTCCCAAAAAGAGCCTAACAAGATCAATGATGAGCCTGGCTCAGAAGCTCAGTGGGAAGAAAACGGCGTACGACCTTCCTGTGGAGATGGAAGATTCTGGGCTCTTTGAAGCAGCTTATCAACTTTTTCCTACTTTACCTCAATACCATCCTGTACAGCTACTGGAGCTGATGGACCTTGGAAAGGTAATGAAAAATTACTTGCTTATTGTTTATAAGTGCAACACAAATTGGAGAACAGTGTTACTTTCACTTACACAGAAAAGCAGAGACTCTTCCATAGCGTATTACCAACAGACACCAATTTAAAGAAACAACTATTTTTTTGTGTAGCAACCTAACTAGTGCATATGTCCTGATGCATCTCAATAAGCCAGGTAGAAAAAATAAGTAGGTCCTCTGGGTGGGTTCTTTAGTGAAAYGTTTCATCTCTCCTCCAAGAGACTTCTTCAGTCTGATGAATTTCAGGTGAACTCAGCCTTATAAGCACTGCCTCCACATGGTGGACAAACAGGTTAGTCACATGCAAAAGAGGGCCATCGACTAACAATAGGCTTGATTAGCTCTATTTAGTCATATGCAAAAGAGGGCCATCGACTAACAATAGGCTTGATTAGCTCAATTGTYCTTAGAGGGTCATGTTCCCCATCACCTGACTTATTGGTTTGGATGTTGTGGTTCTTAGGTGTCGTGTTATGTGTATGTAGTGAGTGCAATGTGGAGGCAGTGCATATAAGTTCGCCTGAAACTCATCAGACTGAAGAGGTCTCTTGGTGGAGAGTTGAAATGTTTTACTAAAGAAGAACCCATCCAGAGGACCTACTTATTTTTTCTTTTTGATTTTTAACTGGTGCATACTTTACTGTTTTAAAGAGTAAATCACTCGCTAAATTGAGAACTACTGATAAAAACAACACACAGTTTGTGCCTGAGGAGCAAACCAGAGCAGTTTGTAGATTGTCTGAAAGAACACAGTTTTGGATTTAATACTTGTTTTAAAACTGAACCACTGGAAAAGGTGTTGCATAGTTCCATATCAAATGTATCCACAATTTATAGCTTTTTTTCTTTTTTTTGCAAAAATACTCATCTGTGATGCTATTACTAGTTTCCAGTGTTCCTCAATTGGCCATTTAAAACCACTTTCAGCTAGAATGCGAGAACCACTCACCAAAAGGCACTTGAATTGTGATGATTTGTCAAGAAATATAAACATGCACAAATACTTATTCGTAATAAACCTGCAGACAATTCATTTGTATGATTACTTTTTTAAAGCATCTTTACTGGCCGATATGACAGTCTGAAGGAGAAGATCATTACATTTTAACGTGTTACTGTTGCTTTTTTTAACAAAAAAACGCTGTAAAATTTAGAATAACACATTCTGTCTGTTTTTAAGGTTCACCGTGCCAAGGCAATTCTCTCCCACTTGGTGAAATGCATTGCTGGGGAAATTGTGATACTTAAAGATAATGCCACCAATCCAGAGAGACGTGTGAGATCTCGAACTATCAGTGTCGGCGGCAGCACAGCAACGGATCAGAAGATATTCAGCAAAGCAGAGAGCTCCAGCCCCGACTACACAGAGATAAGCTCCGTCCCTCCCCTGCCTTTGTACGCCCTGCTGGCAGCTGATGAGGACACACCACAACTTGGTGAGCTCACAGCATGTAGTTAAATATTAAACGCTCAATAAAAGTTAGATCCCATGTATAACAAAGGGGTGAAAGAGACCATCTTTCCTGTCTTGTTGCGAGACACTTAGCGTGTAAATTTTAGATCTGTAATGTGTGTCTCTACAGAAAAAGCTGGCAGCATGAGTGGAGACAGTGGGCACGGCTCCAGTCAGACTGATGCTTACGATGAGCTCTTTCATACACCCAACACAGTGGATCTCGACCCTCTGCATAACGAACAGGAGGAAAATGGGAACAAGGTCGGTTTCAGGCTTCTTKTTTTTTCTCTCGTGTTTTTTTTAAGCTATCCGAATTTGATAACAGCTATGTCTTAAATTTATTTCTGTTTTTCTTTCTAAAGTGAATTCTACAGATTGTCTTCTGGTTTTATTTCTATAGGTGATAGACTTGTCCCAGTACAGTCCTACTTACTTCGGTCCAGAACATGCTCAGGTACTTTCAAGCCACCTCCTCCACTCCAGTTTGCCTGGATTAACTCGTATGGAGCAGATGTCTCTCATGGCGCTGGCAGATACCATCGCTACCACGAGCACAGACCTCAAAGACAACCAGGACAAAAGCAAAGGTACTTAAGAAAATATTTTTATTTATATGGGCATGGTATATTTTGTGGCATTTAGAGAAAAAATGTTGAGTGTAATTTGTTTACAGGTGGRGAGACTCTCGATGAGTGTGGATTGAGGTTCTTGCTGGCTGTCAGACTCCATACCTTCCTCCTAACCTCCTTGCCTCCTGTACACCGAGCACAGCTGTTTCGGCAAGGTACAGTCGTGACTTTCAAGTGTTGCAGTTTTGCCTCCTCTACAATAGGACTAAAAATAAGAGGGGTATAACAACGCTAAGATGTGACATGAGATGAAAGAGAAGTTCTMAGACTACATGGATTCTCAAAGTAATAAACTCCAACCTATAATTGTTTTTAAGCTAGTCAGCAGCAGCAGCAGACAGTGCAGGTAACAGGCAGCAGAAAAGGCAGCTCAGTCTGGTACCAATTACAGMCAGACACTGATACATTCTACTTTAACTACAAAGAAAATTCACCRAGGAGTGTAACTGCAGCAACCAAGAGCTGTAACAAGTGTATATATTTTTCTACATTATAATGATTTTCATAGCAGTTCAGAAGCACCTCASTTTGCCCACAGAGCCATTGGTCTTCCTGTCACTACAGAAGGTTTCCATCTGGTTACAAAAGCAATAAATGTCTCTGCACTTCTTCAGCAAAGCTGATTCTCACTGAAGTATCCAGTTAATAACTATGGATTCCTAAAGCCAAAAAAAGAGGGCATTATTCWTGATCCTAAGTGTAATTACTTGTCCATGAATCTCCTTAAGTAAAGTGAATAAGCCACTGTCTATTCATCATTATTAACTRCTACGGTAAAGTTACCTTTGGGCAATCTATGAAACTTCCCAACACTTTAGCTGTCAGCGGGCACCTTTGTTTTATAACTATTAGTCTGTGTAGAKCTCCATGCTAAGGAATACCAAGATTTATCATCTGAATATTTCTTCTCTGTAGGTCTATCAACGTGTCATTATGCCTGGGCCTTCCACTCTGAAGCCGAGGAGGAGCTGCTGAACATGCTGCCTGCTCTGCAGAAAGGAGAGCCCACCTGGACGGAGCTGCGCTCGATGGGCGTGGGCTGGTGGCTGCGCAGCACCGACAAGCTGCGCAGATGTATTGAGAAGGTACAGCAGACTGTTTATTCATCACTTTTAGTTAAGTTCCAAACTCAGATCTAAAACTCAGTCTGCTTAACAAATGACTGTATCAAACTATCAAAATCTGAAATGTAGGTTTTCTGTCAAAAAGAACATATTTATACTGTTAATTGTAAATATGTAATTTTTGTTTTTATATAAAGTACTATGTCTAAGGAATAAAGAATTCAAGCCCCATTAGGTGCAACAAAATACCTTTTTGCTATGTAGTTCGTTCCAGCATGTGATATTTTGATTAACACTTGCCACCAGTAAGATTCACCCAATAGAAAAGAAATGTTATTTTTTTTCCTTGAAGTGAAATATTTGCAAAATGTTTTTGAAAAGGAACTTCACATAAAGTAACATCTGTTCCTGTCTGAGCCTGGCATCCTTGCTCTGATTGTTCAGTTTATGAATTAAGTGTTGTCAGGTATCTGAAAACACAGTTTTGCTGAACTTGCTCTAAAACGCACCGCAAACAGGCTGAGCTGAAATGTCCCATAAAACGACAACTTGTTCCTTAGATAACTGTCTAAGCTGAGGTGCTTATGGCTTCGGCTGAATCAGTTGTTCCTTTTTTTTGTCAGGTTGCCAAGGCTTCCTTTCAGCGAAACAATGATCCTCTGGATGCAGCTATATTTTACCTTGCACTGAAAAAGAAGGCAGTGGTTTGGGGACTGTACAGGTAGGCTGAATTGACACTATTTTGCGCAATGCCCTCACACAAGCTCAGTCCTGTCAGAAGTGCTGCCGACCAGTGACACTGACACTGTTTGAACGCCATTCACCGCAGGTCTCAGAAGAACGTGAAAATGACAGAGTTTTTCCACAACAACTTCAACGAGGACAGGTGGAGAAAAGCGGCGCTGAAGAATGCCTTCTCTCTGTTGGGAAAGCAGCGGTTCCAGCATTCTGCAGCCTTTTTTCTTCTCGCCGGCTCCCTGAAGGATGCTGTGGAGGCAAGTGGAAAACCGACATGACAAAATGCTTCTAAAAAGGTTTTGTTCTTTCAGCTGTGCTGACACTTCACAGCCTCATAAAACTCAAGTTAGAAACCAGCTTTTCAGTATGAGTGAAGTCAAGTGCTTCTCATTTTTATTTTTAAACCCTCTCTTTTCCGATTGAGCTGTTCCTGCATCATCTTTTCATATTTAATAGATGTGTTAAATCATGTAGTAAAAAGAAAGAAAAACATATTCCCAAATTCAGATTGCACAGCTACTTTTTTATTGGGAGACTTAGTTGTATTATTAAAATAGTTCAATATTTTCCCATAGTGGTATTCTCTCATGAGGATTTTGCAAAATGCACAAACAGTTCTTGATGTTAGCAGTTGACACATGGAGGGTGATGTGTTTCTTTGTGCCTTTGTTTTTAGTTGTCACATTAATTAACTACTATGACCTCTTTTTTTAAACCTAACAAAAGAAAATATTCATAATTAAGGGTGTTTACCTAGGAGCCCAAGAAAATTTAGGCTTGTATCTAAAAATGCAACGACACATTCTATAAATAAACGAATGGCATCATTTRAGAGCTTGTGAACACAAATACACTCCAAAATACTAATTCCTAGACATCAAATAAAACCAGAATGCTCTTTTTTTTGTTCAATCATCAGAAAACCAGTTAACACCTCTTACGAAGCAAGTTTACTAACCRTGTAATTCTTAAAAAACAACTATTTTTCTGAYTTAGGACAAGAAATAATAGGCTTTTTTGTCTAGGGGCACTTAATGTTAGGGATTGATGTTGGGGTGGTGTGATAAACTAACCTTTTAACTCTGTYAGGGGTTTGGTAAAAYGATTGAGCATCAAGATTATRAAATTTGAATCTACAAGCTAGTAKTTGGACAGGTCCTTGGAGAATTGGTGGCTGGGACAGGTCTAGTTATGCTTATTGTTTTGTAGTGTTTTTGGTGCTGTGTATGAGCAGTAATAGCTATCATTATCAATGGCTGTGACACAGACCATCTTGATTGTTTAACCTTATACTTATCAAGGTTATTTCTGCTCAGATGGTCCYTTAAGCAGTGAGTCACATTATTTCATCTGCATGAGTAACTGCAACCTCTCTGAGGATTTTATGGAAATGAGCATCATCCGGGCAAAGGGCTATCATTGACTTTGCTCATTCTCCCTGGCTGGGAGGTAAACTCATTGAAATGCACCTCACACCTTATCAGCTATGAGCATCCACAACAACTTCAGCTACCCTTGCTCATTTTGCTGTGAGCATGTTTTCTTCTTCTTTCAGCTGTTTTATTTCCTGTTTTTACTGATTTAAAAAAAACCAAACATTTAATGCCGGAGGATTTTATATTGATGGATTTCTGTGCATCCTGAATTTACATTATTGAGTTTTGAGCTAAAGGTGGAAGGTCTTCTAAACTAGAATTGATTGTGAATGTTGTTTTTCTCTTTCAGGTGTGTTTGGAGAAAATGCAGGACTTGCAGCTGGCCCTGGTGATTGCTAGATTGTACGAGTCCGAGTTTGAGACGGCATCCACCTACAAAAAGATCCTCCAGAGGCATGTGTTGGGACATGACAACCAGGTGAACAGTTTGTGTGTGTATGTATTAATATACATCAGTAACTGTTGTTTGTTCTATTTTAAAAATACAATATTTGACTATGTGGTGTTGTTTCACATCCATTTTTAATCAATAACACATTTAGCTTTAGTAATTTTCTGTATAATCCAGATTCCAGCTCATCAGGATCCATTCTTGCGGAGCATCGCTTACTGGGTCTTGGAAGACTACAGCAGAGCACTGGACACTCTAATCAAGCAACCTGCTGTCTGCAAAAGCTCTGGGTCCTTTGAAAATAAATATAGCACTGGTATGTCACCCCCCCCCCCCACCAAGAACAATCAAGTAGTTTTCTGACTTTTCAAACTGGTGCTCTGAATCTTTATTATACTGATAACTGAGTATCTCGTACATCCTACAGAAAATAATCTGAGTAACATTTTAAGAATAGATGACAATCTGAACTTAAAATGAACTCATTTTAGACTTAAAAGCTAAACCGTTCCTGAATAACCCCTCCCCATGTTTCAAGTGTTTTCATAAATTTATAAATTCTCAAACCACATTTCGAATGTTTTGAAGAGAAGATATCTCCTTCTACTACAAAGTTAAAAATTACTCTGCTACCTCAAAGATAGATGTTTTCTCCGTAGCCAGGACTTCAGTACAAGCTGCCATGTCTTTTGACTTTTTAATTCCCTCATAAAAAACGGAATCCAGCTTCCCGCCTTTCCCAATCTTTTAAACTTTTTGCTTTAAGCTCTCTTGACATTTACATAACCAGCACCGTCTGTCAGTGCACAAGTTCTTCTACTGCTGCATGTGTAAAGTTATTTCAAGGCTCAGCAATGATTGTCAGGATAATTCTGGCTTGTTTTTCTGATTCATGCGATATCCGATCCTACATCGAATTCACTACAGTAAAGCCAGACTAGCAAGAACATTTGATACAATGTACCCTCTGAACAGTGTTGGCAGACCACTGCAAGTTATGCACGTGTGTTTTGGAACTGTCCCTTCATTAAAAGATTCTGGTCTGAATTACTATTTTTATTTTACATTGTCTTAAGTAAGTTAAGACATTCTTCTAATGCCTTAATTGCCTTGTTCGGAGTGTGGCTTACTTAACTTACTGTCTCTCCTGCTGAAAAGTGTTTATTAGTGTTTACAACTCTGCTGCCCAGGGGACTAACTCGGCTACTTGGAAATCAGCCTACTTATACAAGCTTGATTTGAGAGGTCGTTTATTTTTAATAGGGAAAAATTAGGCTGACCTGTAAGGCTGTATCATTTGAAATTACTTGGAAACTCTTCCTGTCCTGCATTAAAGGCACAGACTGTCAAATCATTATGAACTGAACACCATTTTTCCTTTTTGTTTATTTTTTATCTGTATATTATGAGTAGCTGCTGAAATGTAAAGAAGTTAAGACTGCTTAAAAAAACAAGATATTTTTCTGTCCCTTTTTGAATTTCTTACAGGTTCTTCTGCCATGTCTGCGTGCAACCCTGAGGTCTTCAACTTTTACATTTACCTCCGTACACAGCCTCTCCTTCTCCGCCGCCATTTTAGCTCTTTAGACAAGACGAAAGTGGCTTTGACCGCTGAGGGTCGCAGGGCTGACTCCATCAGTCTGGATGAGAGACGTCTGTTTTTCACAGCTGCTTATGCACATCTGCACGCCGGGTGCCCCATGCTAGCGCTCGAAGTCCTTTCCAAAATGCCCAAAGTCCGCAAGCACTCTAAACTCTCCAGTCAGGAGGATACGGGCATCGCGCCTGAGCTCAGCATTGGGAGCAGGAACGGGCAGTCGGACCCCAACTGGTCCCCGCCCGGCCTGAACGGCTACCACTCAGATGGGAACAGCAACAGCAGATCAGACTCTGTGTTGAGTTTCGACTGGAGCCAGCCATCGCTGGCCCTCCCAGATGAGCCCCTGGAATTGAAGTGGGATAGTGACAAAGATGAGGAGGATCAAGAGGATCAAGATGAGACTAAAAAAGAAATCAAAGCTGCGGACAACAGTGTGTTTCARGACCGGCACGACTCAGTGTTGACGATAGCAGAAACGGTGAAAAGTGAAGAGAGTGAAGACAGCAGTGAGTTCATTGCTCCGTCTGACGACATCTTCTTGGCCCAGCTCAAGTTCACTGCTTGCTTGAAGATTATGACCACTGAGCTGCGGACGCTGTCAACAGGGTATGAACTGGAYGGAGGGAAGCTGCGTTACCAGCTCTGCCAGTGGCTAGAAAGAGAGGTACAAACTTGATCTTTCACCAGAACTGCGTTCCTATTCCTCTGCATTGTGGATATGATGTGATTTGAAATTTAAGTTCACTCAGTTGAAGTTTTATTTTTGCATAACTCCCACACATTTCTCCTCAGTTCAGGCTACTGTTTCATTATTTTCTGTCTGTCAGTTTATATAAACATCACGTTGTTTAGTTTCCTCCCATGTGAAAACAATATGATGTTTTGGTAAAATGCTTTGCTACAGCTAGCATGCATAAATGATAAACACCGTTGTGATGAGTTGAATTATTATTTTTTTCTTTTCCAGGTGGTAGCTCACCAGCGTTGTTGTGGCTATAAGCCCTGCTTGGAAGATCAGTCAGTCCAGAGAGATAACCCTGTTTCTGGACCAGTGGAGGAAGAACAGGTGTTGATCACTGTCTTTTTTCTTAAATGAAAATAAAGACATCAGATTCAGCACAGACCTGCTTTTTTTTTAAACAAACTGTTGATTTATTGCAGTAAACCTCTACTGAAACATTTATATTAATTAAAAGAAGAGGCTAACACGATTTCACCTACCAGTGTCAGAGTTTAGTTGCCACAGGTGTATAAATACTTTATCATTTGTTCAGAAACTGATAAAGCTGCAATGTTTTTCAGCCCGGGAGCCCCCGAGGTGACAGCCAGAGGAGCAGGAGACTCTGGCTGCAGAGTAACCAGCCTTTATTGAGGATGTTTTTGAGCTACTGTAGCTTGCACGGCTCCCACGGCGGAGGGCTGGCTTCTGTACGCATGGAGCTCATATTGCTGCTACAAGAGTCCCACCAGGTGAATAAAACATGCACAGATATACAATACAGCCACAGGTAGATGGGGCATGGCAGTTTGTTTTGTTTTTTAAGTAGGACCCAGTGTTTCCCATTAGAAAACTATTATTTATAGATGGTTTATTCCATCTAAAGCAGAAAATAACTTTTAGCCAAGCAACAACCCATCTGTATTTTATGAGATTCAAGCAAAATCAAAAAAAAACATAATTCACATAGATTGAAAAGGTGTAGGCTGAAGCTAATCAGCTTATAAGTTCCTGCTCTTACATCTTTATTACAAATAAACCATTTCCACTCATCATAGCTTTAGTGTAGCTAACAGAATACATAGAATCAACAATTAAATAAAAAACATAATAAATACATTTTTAAAAAATTATATTTAAGGATGTGAAGCTAATCAGCTTATAAGTTCCTGCTCTTACAT